AAGGGAACTTTTAGGGGTAACGGACATTGCTGTGTGTTTTCTAATGGGTGACTACACAGAAGTGCGCATAGGTAAAAATTCATCAAGCTTTACATTGAAAGACACTGCATTTTATTGCATATGAATTAAACCCCAGGGGAAAAAATAGATTGTCTCAAATAAGGGTGAGATTCGGGGGGAAAAAATGAAATAGTATATTTAACCTGTTGTCAGGCTTCACCTTAAGCTTTAAATCTGCTTAGAATAACAAGCAGGCTGAATACCCTGGATTTGTTATTCAGTGATTCTAAATATTTAGCCTTTCAGAGAGAAAGCATTCATTCCCACCTAAACCTGAGGAAGATTAATCTCTGAAGATACTCACACAAAGGAAGTCATAAAATGAATTAGCTCAGGAAAACTAAGGGAAATTTCTACTCTTGGATTCTGTTTCCACACTGTGTTTTCTGTGAGAAAGATGGTTTTTAATTTCTCTTTTAAAAAACAAAACATGGGGGCGCCTGGGTGGCTTAGTCGGTTAAGCGTCTGACTTTTGCTTAGGTCATGATCTCGCGGTTTGTGGGTTCGAGCCCCGCGTCGGGCTCTGTGCTGACTGCCAGCTCAGAGCCTGGAGCCTGCTTCAGATTCTGTGTCTCCCTCTCTCTCTGACCCTCCCCTGCTCGTGCTGTCTCTCTCTCTCTTCTAGAAATAAATTTTAAAAAAAAATTAAAAAAAAACAAAACATGGCGCCTGGGTGGCTCAGTCGGTTAAGGGTCCAACTTTGGCTCAGGTCATGATCTCACTGTTCATAAGTTCGAGCCCCACATCGGATTCTGTGCTGGCAACTCAGAGCCTGGAGCCTGTTTCAGATTTTGTGTCTCCTTCTCTCTGCCCCTCCCCCGCTCATGTTCTGTCTCTCTCTGTCTCAAAAATAAATGAACTATTAAAAAATAAATAAATAAATAAATAAAACAAAAAAACACAAAACACCGCTGGGATATCCTTATTCTGTCTTTATTAAGTAATACCAAATTATCTTCCAAAGCATTGTACCAACTTATTGTCCCAATAGTGGTGTGTGAGTATTCTTAATACTCCACATCCTCTGCCAATTCTTGGTACTGTTAGTTTTTTTTTTCCCCATAAAAATCCTGGAAGAGAGTACAAGCAATAAGGTCTGTGGCGTTGGCCATAGCAGCATTTTTGTAGATATGTCTCCTGAGGCAAGAGAAATAAAAGCAAAAACAAATTATTGGGACTACTTCAAAAAGCTGCCCAATGAAGTAAGCTATCAACAAAACTAAACGGCAACTTGCAGAATGGGAGAAGATATTTGCAAACGATATATCCAATAAAGTAATTAGTATCCAAAATACATAAAGAAATTATACAAATGAACACCCAAAAGACAGATAATCCAATTTTTTTTGTTTTATTTATTTCTGAGAGAGAGAGAGAGTGTGAGTGGGGGAGGGTCAGAGAGAGAGGGAGATACAGAATCTGAAACAGGCTCCAGGCTCTGAGCTAGCTGTGAGCACAGAGACCGATGCGGGGCTCGAACCCACGAACTGTGAGATCATGACCTGAGCCGAAGTCAGACACTTAACCAGCCAAGCCACCCAGGCGCCCCAGATAATCCAATTTAAACATGGGCACCTTGGTAGCTCAGTTGGTTAAGCATCCGACTTCAGCTCAGGTCACGATTCATGGCTTGTGGGTTTGAGCCCAATGTCAGGCTCTCAGCTGTCAGCTGAGGAACCTGCCTCAGATTCTGTGTCTCTCTCCATTTCTGCTCCTCACCTGCTCATGATCTGTCTCTCTCCCAAAAATAAACATTAAAAAAAAATTTTTAATAAAAAAATAAAAAGCGGGCAGAGGAGGGGCACCTGGGTAGCTCTTGGTTAAGCTTCCGACTTCAGCTCAGGTCATGATCTCACAGTTAGTGTGTTTGAGCCCTGCATCAGGCTCTGTGCTGACAGCTCAGAGCCTGGAGCCTGCTTTGGATTCTCTGTCTCCCTCTCTCTGTGCCCCTCCCCTGCTCGCACTCTGTCTCTCTCTGTCTCTCAAAAATAAGCATTAAAAAAAGTTTTTTTTAATGGGCAGAAGACATAAAAGACATTTCTCCAAAGAATACATACAGATGGTCAACAGGTACATGAACAGATGCTCAACATCACTTACCATCAGGAAAATACAAATCAAAATGACAATAAGACATCACCTCATACCTGTCAGAGTGGCTAAAGTCAACAATACAAGAAACAAGTATTGGCGAAGACGTGGAGAAAAAAGAACACTCATGTACTGTTGGTGGGAATGTACAGTGGTGCAGCCACTGTGGAAAACAGTATGGAGGTTCCTCAGAAAGTTAAAAATAGAACTGGGATGCCTGAATGGATGAGTCAGTTAAAGGTCCAGTTCTTGATCTCAGCTCGGGTCTTGATGTCGGTCATGAGTTTAAGCCCCACGTTGGGCTCCTTGCTGCACATGAATCCTTTAAAAAAAATTTATACAGACACACATATGTATACATATATATGTATGTGTATACCTATATACATATATATATAACTACTCTATGAGCCAGCAATTGCACTACTGGGTATTTACCCAAAGAATACAAAGTCACTAATTCAAAGGGATACATGTACCCCTTTGTTTATTGCAGCATTATTTACAATAGCCAAATTATGAAAGCAGTCCGTGTCCATCAATAGATGAATGGTTAAAAGTGAAATAAGTCAGTGAGAGAAAGACAAATGCCATATGATTTCACTAGTATGTGGAATTTAAGAAGCAAAACAAATGAGCAAATGGATAAAAAGAAAGAGACAAACCAAGAAACAGATTCTTCACTATAGAGAATAAACTGATGGTTACCAGAGGGGAGGTTGAGGGGGTAAAATAGGAGGGTTTTGTTTTTTTTTTAATTCCTCTAAGAGCCCATTTTAAAATGTAAATCAGGTCATGATACGGCCCTCTTCAAAACCCTGCTGTCAGATTCATAATAAATCCTAATCCCTTCAAAGCCTTTGTGGCCAGCCCTCAGCCTTCTGCGCCTTCCTCTCTGACACCTCACCACCCTCCTCTGCCTCATGGGCCCACTTGTTCTATGTTTAACAGGTCAGTCTTGTTTCCTCTTCATTCTCTTTGCATTCTTTGTTCTCTCTCATGGCTCCTTGTAATTTCCCTTTGTATTTGCCACTAGATCAGAAGCTCCGTGAGGACAGGATGGGTATGTCCAGTCCCACACTGTTCCCATGCCCAGTGCTAGCCCATTAAATATCTGCTGAATGAACAAACAAGTCCCCAGCAGCCAGGTGCCTCCTGAAGACTGGTCTGCTTCCCTTTGTGGGTACCAGAGCATGCACCTTCCATCCAACTTTGTTTTCTTGGTGTGTGTATGCATGGGCTTCACGGGAAACATCAGAGCAGCAGTGAGGGGAGAAACCAGAATTAGGCAGTGGGCACCTGAAGGGCATGGGGAGTCCACTGGAGGAAACAAGGTGTATGAAAGCACTTCACAAGGGTCAGCACTGGGTAACTTCCAAACAGGTGCAGTAAAACATCAGAAGCAAAGTACCTTGGAGCCAGTGCTGCTGGCCCCCTGGGAATCAGAGCCAAGCACCCTGGGTGAGACATGTTGGGGAAGCGTCACTCTAGGCCCTGGAAACCACCTTCTGTGTCTCCTTGTCACTTGTCCCTGAACCCTTTGGTAGTTCAAAGAACTCACAGGCCTCTTTCTGTGCCCTGGCCAGTCACAGGCTTTGGAGCCAGATAGACCTGGACACAGGTCTATCATTATCACCTCCAGTCACAAGCTTGTGACCTTAGGCAAGTTCCTTTACTTCTGTGATCACTGTTACCCCACCCCGAATGATGTTTTCCTTATTGGAACGTGCTAGTTCCATTCCCTGATGGCTTTGTGGTTTGGCTCGGCTCCAGAAATTTGAGCTGCCATGAGTGAAGGGGGCAGCTGAGGTTCTTGAACAGAGTCTGAGAGGCCTTCTCTGAAGCTGCTGGCTGCAGCCAGAGGACCCTGGAAGAGCTGGCTGGCTGGAGCTTTTCAGCAAAGGGCTGTGAGGCCCAGGAGCCAGGTCAGAACTGGGGCTAACTGGATTTGGAGAAGAGCTGGTGAGGACGGGCAGGCGGCCAGATTTAAGTGCTCCCTATGGCGTGGAGCCAGGGCTCAGGGCCTCCACTTTCAACCTTGTCTCTGACTTTTGCCCAGGCTCCTTTGCACATGGCATGGATTCAAATTCCTTTCCTTAAGAGTCCATCCCTAAACTGCTAGCCTCTTCTTCCTGCTCTTGCCCATTAGGGCAGCCCAAGGCCTTAGATTGCCTGTGCCCCCAGGGACCCTGGCGTTCATTTCATCCAAACACACAGATGAAGGCAACTGTCCAGATGGCTGTGTGGTGGGAACACTGAGCCCAACACCCCTGGATCCTGACACCAGAGCTGGAAGGATTGTTAATAGTTCACTGAGCTAACCCAGGAATGCCTCATCCAGAGCCCACACCCAGGAAAGGAGAAGGCAAATCCCAGGGCAGAAGCCCAGCCCTCCCCCACCGACCCCTCTCTTGCACAGAGGGGCTTCTCAAAACTACTCAGAGGGTAGAGAGCACCAGGGTGGGGAGCCTGCAGTCTCCTGTGATCTTTTCTCTGGGCCATTTTATCTTCAGTTTCACCTGAAATTAACCTCACACAGCTAGACTAAGAATTTTCTGAACCTGGTCCTTCCAGTGACTCGCCATGGACTCCAAGGAAATCACTTTATGTCCTTGTTTACTTTCTGGCTGATAAGTGAGGAGAGCGGGCTAATCTCTTCCTCTGCAGGCCCGAGAGCTATCTGTGGGTGGTAAGAGGGACAGCCCTTTCTTTTGTTCACCCTTTGGTTAAGTGGGCGTCTCCTCTCCTGCTAGCTTTGTCCCCTCTGGGATTGAGGGCGGGGCTAGGGGAGAGCATGTGTGCATGTGTGCGATTTATCTGCATATTACTTTTCCTCTCTGCAATTTCAGGGTCATGCTGTGGCAGCTTGGCATCTGACGAGAGCAAGGGGGAACCTGCCAGAGGATTACTGCTAGCACGAGCTAACAGCGGGACAGCAGGCCTCAGGGGAGTGGGGATGGGCAGAACAGCCTGTGAGGCTGGGCCAGCGGTACCAAGGAGGCCTGGGCCCTGGCAGGGAGCTCGGCGCAAGCTCAGCTGACCCAGCCGGCATTCACAGCAGATCCCTGCTGAGCAGCAGCTGTCCCCAGGCTCTGGAGGACCTCACAGCAGGAGCAGGCGCTCTGTGAGCCCCCCTGCAACCACAGTTGGGGCTGTGACCATCAAGAGAAGGGAGCAGCGCCTCGAATGGGAAGCGGAAGGGCAGAACCTAGTGCAAGGAGGATCTTGGTGTCTGCAGGAGAGTTTTCTGACACCCACAGAGCTTTCTGGGTTTCTTCTCTCAGGACTGGGGCATCATTCCCTCCTCCAGTGGAGGGTTTGGGCCAGGAGGGCCAACTGAGGTGGGGACAACTCTTGGATGGAATCCAGGCCACTTGAAGCTCATGTGCTCTCTGCTGTGATTGGGGTTCAAAGGCTTCCCCACTGCAGGGGACGAGGGGCCGCCTCCGTGTCTGCTCATGAACCACAAGGACCCCGAATGCCCCAGACTGGACCATTTCGAGCCACCAAAGAGGGGGGCCCCCGGAGCTGGCAGCCAGCAACCCCAAGGGACTAGAGGGCTGGAATGGACTGACCTCCCCCTCACCAGGTCGGCAGGAGAATCAGAGCCTCTGTGGCCCAGCTAGTAACAGAGAGACCCGATGAAGCCATAAGCAGGGGCCCGAGTGGCCCAGGGACAGGGGAGCCACTCCTGCCTACATTCTTTCTCCTTACATTGAGGGAGGGTGTGGTGAGGGACCCCTGCCTCTATACCCTCCTCAGCACGTGCCCCTATGCCCTTTGCACATGGTGCCGGAAAAGGCAGGCTACCCTGTGGCTGCCCCATTAGTAAGCTGGGAAAGGAGTGGCCACGGTGACACCCCTCTGCCCACCAAGCCGGTGGTCTAGCCCCCCGGGGCGCCAAACCATGAAGTGCTCCCTGCGGGTGTGGTTCCTCTCTGTGGCCTTCCTGCTGGTGTTCATCATGTCACTGCTCTTCACCTACTCCCACCACAGCATGGCCACCTTGCCCTACCTGGACTCTGGGGCCCTGGGCGGGACCCACCGGGTAAAGCTGGTGCCTGGCTATGCTGGCCTGCAGCGCCTCAGCAAGGAGGGGCTCCCCGGCAAGAGCTGTGCCTGCCGCCGCTGCATGGGTGACGCCGGTGCCTCTGACTGGTTTGATAGCCACTTCAACAGCAACATTTCCCCTGTGTGGACACGAGAGAACATGGATCTGCCTCCAGATGTCCAGAGGTGGTGGATGGTGAGAGCTGCAGCCCTTCCTACCTCCCCTTTGCTGCCCTTTCTGTCCCCCTGTTTGGGAGTCACTCTTCAACCCCCCTCTTGGATTTCGGCTGTCTGCCTTCTTGAGCCTTGACAAAGCATTTGGTCCATTTGACCAGAGCCATTTGCTAAGGTCACAAATTCTGAAAGGCAGAGCAAGCTTTGGGCTGGAAGGAGAGAGAACTACTTTTCAGTGCCTGTAGAGGCTGAGCAGAGACCAGAAATGCCTACTAGGCCAGGGAGGTAACATAGGAGATACAGGCCCGGAGAAGGAAGATGATGAGAGGTAAGGACCATGGAGGGGAGAGCATCCGCCCTTTGTAAAGGAGGCAGCCCCCCTCAGCTGCAGCAGACTTGTGCTCTGCAGGGATGTGACCCATCACTGTTGGTTTTTCTGACCCTTCAGGAGAAACTGGAAGTCCACAGTTTCTTGCTAAATATCCTAATTTGTAAATGTTGGCTCACAAGAATTTTAAACACCATGCAGGCCACCCACTTAGTTTTTTACAATTGCTGGAAGAGACTTTCTTCTGGGTTGGGATAAGAAAACATTGTCCGTTCCTTTGGGGGATAAGGGAGAGGAAGGGCAAGGGGTGAGTGGACAGGTATGCCTGAGCCGCCCTGCTCATCTGGATCCTGTCACCTTTCTGCTGCTTTTAACTCCCTTTACCTCATCCCTGTCATCTCTGGAATGTCACTCCCCAGGCTCTCCGGGGGCCATCTGGTTGCCACACTGTGTCAGGTGGAGCAGTGTCAGTGCTTAGCCCAGGGCCCCGCAGGCCACCTGCATTCCCCACTAGGGGATTGGGAGTCACCTCCTGGTTTCCCCAGCTGGCAAATAGAGAGGATGACAACTCCCTGCTCCTTCTCACATTTAGGGAAGCAGTGAGGAGGGGCTCCTGTGATCAGGCTTATCAGAGCAACTCACAGACCCTGCTTCCGGGCTCAGCCTGTCCAAGTCCCTAAGAATGGGGAAATCTACAGAGCAAGGATCACCAGGAGCCCCATGGGCCATTCCTGTGACAGCCTGGAGGGCTCGAAGAGTTCGTCTGTTCGTCTTAGTCACAGCCTTCATTTTGTGAGGAAAAGCAAGGTTCAGATAGTGCATAGAGCTTGCCTGAGGTGGTGGCCACCTAGAGCCAGAACAGGATCCTGGGCAGAAGTAGACAGAAGTAGACCAATGGATAGGCCAAGTTTCCTTCCCGTAGAGATGGAACTCAGGGCTGTTGAAGCACCAAGGGTGTGTCTTAGCCAAGACGCAGCAGAAGCCACTTCTCTCCTATTCCCCACAGTCACTCCCTTTTGCTGTGAACTTAGAAATTCTTATCTCAAGCTTAGCTTCCTCTCCACCCTCAGTTCATATTCTTGTTCTTAGGAAACTTTCCTGTGCTCCTGTGCTAAGAGAAGAGGAAGAGAAGTAGGCCCACTCCATCCCCTTCATTTATTCTATCCCCCTGAGCAGCTCCTGTTCAGCCACAGTCCCCATGTTATGGCTTTGACCATAGAGCATTTTAAAGCCCTAGTTTCTACCGTACCGATTTGTGGTCTGTGAGCCAAGTCCAGTCTGCTCAGTGTTTTGTTTTTTTTTTTTTTTTTTTTAGTTTAGTTTTATTTATTTTTGAGAAAGAGAGAGAGCAAGCCAGGGAGGGACAGAGAGAGAGGGAGACAGAATCACAAGCAGGCTCCCTGCTGTCAGTGCAGAGCCCGATGCAGGGCTCAAACTCACAAACCGTGAGATCATGACCTAAGCCAAAATCAAGAGTTGGATGCTTAACCTACTGAGCCACTCATGTGCTCCTGCTCAGTATTTCTAAAATACTTGCATTTAGTGAGGCCCCTGGGTGGCTCAGTTGGTTAAGCATCCGATTCCAGCTCAGGTCATGATCTCACAGTTCATGGGTTCGAGCCCTGCATCGGGCTCTGTGCTGACAGCTCAGAGCCTGGAGCCTGCTTCACATTCTGAGTCTTCCTCTCTCTCACTCTGCCATTCCTCTCCTTGTGCTCTGTGTATCTCTCTCTCTCAAAAATAAATAAACATTAAGAAAAAGTTTAAATATTTGCATTAGTTAACATTTAGGAAATCAGGATAGTTCATGTGAAATCCGTATTTTCAGTTTCTCTTGAAACACTGGAAAATTTGGTGCTTTTATGCTCACATTCCAACATAGCAGCAGTCAACTCACTCCTTTTTGATGGGACCTCCTGTTTTTCATAGGCCCCATCTGACACTTCACTCCTGCGCAGTTACTTGCCTGGTGTGTTGGCATCTGAGGGCTGCCCCAGCTTCATTTCATGGTCTTCCACAGTTACTGGTGGTGGGAGGCACAGGGAACCAGTTTCATTCCAGCCATTCTGACTTTGAAAGAATTTTGTACTTCTCTGCCTTCCCCACTCCTCTCCCCCAGGGCTCAGGGGGGTGGCTCCAGTTATCCCTGTCAAGATGTCAGTAGCAAGATGAGCTTTCCTAACCTTGAGCCCTCAGTCTGAGTCCCAGAGGCGCCATCTGTAGGCGGGTTAGGAATAAGCCCTCGAAGCTCGGCAGGGTTTTCCACATTAACTGCACCTCAAAATGACTCTTCCTGTGACTCATAACTTCCCTGAGAGGACAGCAGAGCAGGGGCCTCTGCAGGCATGACGAGCCCAGCAGATATCTGCTCTGCAGTACCCCTGGACCCCTGAGCCCCCCTCCAGTGTGTTAGAGCATGCGCCTGATGAGCAGGGAACCCGCCTCGGAAGGGAACTTTGCTGTGTGGGAGAGGGGGCGCGTCCTCACTATTGAGACAGAATTCCCTTTCCCTGACTGAGACTAGAGGGTGAGGGCAGGAAGGGGAGACAGGCAGGAATCCCTCCCTGCTCACCCCTCCCTCTCCTTCCTTCTCCCCTCCTGTCCACAGATGCTGCAGCCCCAGTTCAAGTCACACAACACCAACGAGGTACTGGAGAAGCTGTTCCAGATAGTGCCAGGCGAGAACCCCTACCGCTTCCGGGACCCCCACCAGTGCCGGCGCTGTGCCGTGGTGGGGAACTCGGGCAACCTGCGGGGCTCTGGCTACGGTCCAGATGTGGATGGGCACAACTTCATCATGAGGTGAGCCCCAGGGAGCCCAAGGATGGGCCCAGGACAGGCCTCCATAAGGAGGCACTAGCCTCTATAGACTTGTCTGGCAGTGTAGGAGTTGCCCACTGCTGTGAGCCTCTGATACCAGAACCTTCTGTAAAGGCTTGAGTCTCTCGCTCTTATTTGTTGGGTAGATGGGGAGGCAGAATTCCCATTCTATACTTTGCTTGAGGCCTGCACTCAGTTTTGAGCCTGAACGCCTCCGAAGGGCTGAGAGTAGACCCCTGGTTGTTTCCTGGTGAAAACTCCCACCTGCCTGGTCCCCTCAGTGCTGGGCCAGGAGTGAGGGCCCCACACTAATGTCTTGACTAATAGTCACAGATGGTTCCTCCTGGCAGACTTGCAGAAGACTGAGGTCCTGGGCAGGAAGAGAAACTGCTCAGTGCTTGCTCTAGGCTGCTGTCCCTCACCTTTATTTCATAAGGTTTAGGTTATGTGGGGCAGATTCATTTAACAAACATCTCTCCCCAGCCTTGAGGAAAGGAGAGGGGCTGGAAAGGCATTCATTTCGGACAGAGACACAGAGCTATGAGCCTGGAGGTGAACAGGGGCTACATGGTAGACTTGTAACTCCAACCCAGGCTGCTCATTCTGTTCCTGAACCTGTGTTTTCTGACTTTTTCCTTAGACTTGGGGACAGAAAATGGCACAGTGGGGATCCTTCCATCCCACTCCTTGGTGGAAAAAGAGCCTTAAGAGTAAAGATACTGAAAATGCTAAGTTTTCACTAGGCATCTCTTAGGATGAGCATTGCAGAAAGACCAGGTTTCCCAGGAAGCGAAGGAAGGGCTTTGTCTTAGAAACTGTTGCTGTTTCCATGGCAACACCCAGGCAGCAGTGTGTCTCTGAGGCTTTCACCGTTCCTTGCAAAACCTTTCTCATGTTGAGAAGGGGGTGGCGGGGAGAGGAGGTCTGCTAGGCCCCATCCAGGAACCCAGAGCCACCTGAGATTCTCCCCATCCTCCAATTGCTGGCACTCAGAATGTAAGAGAGGCAAGCTGGGAGCTTGAGAGGGGACTCTCTCTACCCAGAGACAGTGGCCGAGAGTGGGGAAGGAGGCATCCATCACTTCAGTGCAGCCCTAGGACTCTCAGGAAGCCCAGGGAAATGGTCTTGAGTGCCTGAAGCTCCTGCCTCTGCTGCCCTGCCATCTGTACTAAGTGGATGCTTTCATTATGCACGTCAGTGGTGACTGGGAAGCTCCAGGGTAGAAGCAGACAAAAAGGCTTGGCTGCTATGACACCTTGGTGATACTGGTCAGGTGAGGCTGCAGAAAGGAATTCACAGATGTTCCCTCACAGGTACCAGGCTAGGAGATGTGTGTTTTGGAGTGGACCCCAGAACTGCTTTGTGGAAGGGGTGACCCAGATTGAATTGGCTTTTTGGTGATCTGTACAGCCTGATGGTAGTGAAGGTGACTCTTTCCTTATAACCATGTCTTGGTTTGGAACCACTGGGGACACCTCCCTGGTCCCTGGCAGGACCAACAAAAGACCCTGTCGAGTTGAGTTACAGTGAGATGATGGCTGTTCCCATATTTCTCTACCCTACCCCCCAGCTGCCTCCTCCTTCTATATGTCTTCTGAGCCCTGCTGACAGCTTCAAATGGAGTTGAGCTGGTCCTGCCTCACTCAGCCAGTCAGCAGACCTAGAACAAGCACCTGGCAGATTGTAGGCTCGCCCTAATACATGAGTGAATGAAAGAGACTACGTGACCAGATACCAAACCCTACACATGAATGCACATCCACCATTCCCCTGCCTCTGCCCTCAGGTGCTGCTTTGGTGTATAGAGGCGACCAGGAACAGATAGAATTCTAGAATGCTTTTCCCCTGAATCATGGAGATGTTGGTCAACCTGTATCCTGCTCTGGCGCCTTTCTAGGGCTTGGCTTCTTCAGAATGAATCAGAGCCTCAAAGCAAAATCCTGTCCTCAAAATCATGCCGTGTTCCTTCCTTCTATCTTAGAGGCTCTGAAACATCTTTTTTAGAACTCTTACTCCATTCCTTTTCAGATTTTAGAAAGCTGGTGCCTGCCCAGCAGGTGAGAGAGACCTGAGGGAGGTAGAAGCAATGATATTGCCTGCCAGGTCTAAGAAGGGTATTCCTCAAGACTGTGGCTACAGATGCAATGGAAAAGGCAGATGGTGGGGGTGGGGTGGGGTGAGGGTGTCTTTAGAGGCCAACCTGGGACACTTGTAGCCCTTTGATCTATGGGACAAGTTTGGCCTCTCCATGTCAGGTGAGAGGAGGTTTTTTCCTTAGGTGCTCACCACAGTGAACCTTGACCCCAGCTCCTGCCCAGTCCAGGCCCCAGCCAACTTGAGTGTCACCAACCCAAGTTGTCCACTTCCTGCTACCCTGTGACATACCCCAGGCAGCTGAGAAACACCATCCTAAACCGCTCTGTTCCTCACGGACCCAAGGGCTGATGTGACAGGAGGCAGACCCAGACTGTGGCTCTGATGATAAAGGACACCAGTGCTGTGTGTAGAGCTCTAGTAGCCCCAGCAAACTGTTATAACTATATGGGAAAAGATAGTTTTAGGCTTTCTAAGAGATGATATCTCTGAACCCTAAAGACCAGGAAAACAGAGGGGCGCCCAGATAGGAGGCAGAGGGGCAGTTAACCTAAAGAAATGGAGGCCAGAGCACAGTTGGTCCTGCAGAGAAGATTCTAGGCTTCCGCTTGAGCCGAACTAAAAGTGAAGTGGCCAAGAACAAAGACTCACTCTCTAGTTTCAAATCAGGCCATTCTCAGGCTTTATGGCTTCCCAACCCCAAACATTCTCTAGTCCCTCAGGGAAGGGAACCAGAGAGCTACAGCAATATGACTAGCAGTGGTGGGGCATCCTGGACATGCTCTTACTGATTGTGCCATCAAGGGGAGGTGGGCAGGAGGAAGGCATTGTGGGAGCCCCAGTGACACAGGAGGTCTTCACCCAGCCTAACTAAGTGGTGCCAGCCACGTTGAGTACAGGTAACGTTCATCCTGGTTTTACAGAAAAGGCGTAAAAAGCTGGGAAAGCACATGGAGACTTTGCTGTCTCTCTCCCAGGTCCCTTTGTCCCCATTGGAGGGCAAGGTTATGGTCATCTATCTGGGCAGTCATGATTCTGCAAGGTGCTCTATACAAGACAGGAATGTTCTCATACATGATCACAGCAGAAAAGACCAACAGGTCTCTGTTTAAAGCTGGATCACCTGTTTTGAAGATGTTCACCAAAAGAGGAAGCTTTGATTTTATTGATCCTATGTTTTGCACAAGTTGAAAGGAAGTAGAAGCCTTCTGGGCTTATTATACCCAGGAGGGTGGTGAGCCCACTCCGGGTTTCTGAGTTCTTCCATGGCAGCATGGGAGAGACACACCGACACTGCACATCACCAGTGGACAGCCCAGGTGGGCACTGTCAGAACTTGGAGCATCCCTCATGACCTTGGAATAGAAAGGCAGATAAGCCGCTGACATACAGGGACAAAGTGGCTAGTGCTGGTGGAATAGAGGCTGCCATCCATCCTGGGGGCTGAGGGAATGCTTCAACTTCTTATCTTGCTTCCACTGTCTTCTAGGAAAGAGGACAGAGCAGCCAGGTAAGGTTGAAGCCATAGAAGGCTGTTCTTTTCCAAAAAAAGAAAGAAATTTGTAAGAGTAATAAATATCTTGTTATTAGGGAAAAAGCATAGAAATATATATACCAGGGGGCACCTGCGTCGCTCAGTCAGTAAAGCATCCCAGTTTGGCTCAGCTCATGATCTCATTTCATGAGTTCGAGCCCGGTATCAGCTCCATGCTGACAGCGCAGAGCCTGGAGCCTGCTTCAGATTCTGGGTCTCCCTCTCTCTCTGCCCTTCCCCCACTCCTTCTCTGTTTCTCTCTCTCTCAAAATAAATAAACATTAAAAAATTGTTGGGGCACCTGGGTGGCTCAGTTGGTTGAGCGTCCAACTTTGGCTCAGGTCATGATCTCACAGTTTGTAGGTTCGAGCCCCATGTCGGGCTCTGTGCTGACAGCTAGCTCAGATCCTGGAGCCTGCTTCAGATTCTATATCTCCCTCTCTCTCTGACCCTCCCCTGCTCACGGTCTCTCTCTCTCTCAGAAATAAATAAAACATTTTTAAAAATTGAAATAAATTTATATACTAAAAAATGAATTACCCCTCCCCATCCCATTTCCCAAGAGTAACCTTTGTTACCAATTGTAATACTCTTCCCGATTTTTTTATTCACATTAAAAGTATGTTTTTTTCTTTCTTCCTTCTTCCTTTTGCTCTGTGTGCCTCCTTTTTTTTTTTGTACAAAAAATGATATCACACTATCTAGTTTTAAGTTTTCCTTTCGTGTGTTGTTAATTCCTTCCTGCAGCACATAGTAGTATTCAAAAGATATATATTAAAAGGAAAGAAATGGGATAAACACCTCACATTACTTGTTTTTTTTTTCACTGAATAGTTCTTGGACTTATTTTGTACCAGTACAAGTAAATCTGATTCACTCATTCTCATGGCTACATGGTGTTCCGTTATATAAGTGCACCAAAATGTATTAACCAGTTCTCTCTTTTAATGTTTGTTTATTTTTGAGAGACAGATAGACAGACTGAGTGCGAGCAGGGGAGGAGCTGAGAGAGGGAGACACAGAATTCGAAACAAGCTCCAGTCTCTGAGCTGTTAGCACAGAGCCCGACACAAGGCTCAAACCATGAGATCATGACCTGAGCCCAAGTTGGAACCTTAACTGACCAAGCTACCCAGTTCTTGTTAAATTGATTCCTCTTTTCACTACTGTAGATAATAATGCAGTGAATATCTTTGTGTACTTGTCTTTGCAGACTTATACAACCATTTTTTATAGGATAGGTACTTAGAAATGGAATTGCTAGGTCAAAGTGTACACCCATTTATATTTTTGATGGCTAGAACCAAATTGGCCTCTAAGAATCTTGCCCAGGGGCACCTGGGTGGCTCAGTTGGCTAAACACCTGACTCTTGCTTTGGACCCGGGTCATGATCTCACAGTTCATGGAAGCCCTGCATGAAGCTGTGTGCTGGCAGCATGGAGTCTGATTGAAGTTTTCTCTGTCTCTCTCTCTCTCTGCCCCTCTCCTGCTCTCTCTCACTTTCTCTCTCTCTCTCTCAAAATAAATAAATAAACTTTAATGGGGCGCCTGGGTGGCTCCATCGGTTAAGCGTCTGACTTCAGCTTAGGTCATGATCTCGCAGTTCACGAGTTTAAGCCCCCCATTGGGCTCTGTGCTGACAGCTCAGAGCCTGGAGTCTGCTTCAGATTCTGTGTTTCTGTCTCTCTCAGCTCCTCTCCTGCTCACACACTCTCTCTCTCTCTCTCTCTCTCAAAAATAAATTAAAAAACATTTAAAAATAAATAAACTTAAAAATCTTGTACCACTTTCCATGGTGGTTTGTTCTCATGTCACCCTCTTGTCCTTGCAGGATGAATCAGGCGCCAACTGTGGGCTTTGAGCAGGATGTTGGCAGCCGAACTACTCACCATTTCATGTACCCCGAGAGTGCCAAGAACCTGCCCGCCAACGTCAGCTTTGTGTTGGTGCCCTTCAAAGCCCTGGACCTACTATGGATTGCCAGCGCTTTGTCCACGGGGCAGATCCGATTGTAAGTCGCTCTGTTGACTGGGAGTGGAATATGGGTGACAGGAGCATTTTGAAAAGAGTCTTCGCAGGAATTGGCTCTTAGAATTCTTGTAACTGAATATTTTAACCAAGAGGGGTGGTGAGGAGGGAGGCAATAGTAGAGAGAGCCCAAAGTGGTAGGTTAGCTGAGGCCACAGGTTGTTCAGTGTCACTTTCTGCATAGTGACAGCCAGCTTCCTGTAGGTAGAAAGGGTAGCAAGGTTTCGGTCTCCTTTCCTCGAGGTGGCTCCAGACTGTGGAAGCTCTGCCTTCTGAAAATTTTCTTTAGACACAGTTGCCCAATCGTAGACACAGTTGCCCAATTGCAACTGGGAACCTGGGGATATTTAATTTGCAAGCTTTGTTGTTGTTGTTGTTGTTTTGACATGTAGTTGACACACAGTGTTACATTAGTTTCATCACCAAGATTTTTTTTTCAATTTTTTAATGTTTGTTTATTTTTGAGAAAGAGACAGTGTGAGCAGGAGAGGGGCAGAGAGAGAGGAAGACACAGAATCTGAAGCAGGCACCAGGCGCCAGGCTCCAAGCTGTCAGCAAAGAGCTCAACACAGGGCTCGAACTCATGAACTGTGAGATCATGACCTGAGCCAAAGTTGGATGCTTAGCTGACTGAGCCACCCAGGCCCCCATCACTAAGTATTTTTTAACAGCTCTATTGAGGTACAATTCACATGCCATACAACTCTCACATTTAAAGTATGCAAGTCAGTGGCTTTTATTAAATACAGTATTGTGTAACCATCACCACAATTTTAGAAATCCTTTCATCTTCTTAAAAGATCTTTAAAGATACCTCTCTACCCCTTAGCTATCACCCCCATTTCCTCTACCCCCACACCCCAGCCCTAGACAACAACCACTAACCTCCTGTCTCACTGTGTGTGTGTGTGTGTGTGTTAAAATATATAGAACATATGGGGTGCTTGGCTGGCTCAGTTGCGAGAGCATGTGACTCTTGGTCTCACTGTTGTGAGTTCAAGCCCCACACAGAGTATAGAGATTACTTAAAAAGAAAAAAATAAATAAAAATTCACTTTTTCAGGTCACTGCCCACATTCTCCACCAAAAATATAAGTATACTTGGGGTGCCTGGGTGGCTCAGTCAGTTAAGCATCTGACTTCAGCTCAGGTCGTGATCTCATGGTTCATGGGTCCAAAGCCTGTGTTGGGCTCTGTGCTGACAGCTCAGAGCCTGGAGCCTGCTTTGGATTCTGTGTCTCACTCTCTCTCTGCCCCTCCCCTGCTTGTGCTGTCTCTCTCTGTCTCTCAAAAATAAATGTAAAAAAATTTTTTAAATATATAAGTACATTCACTGTGTTATGCAAACGTCACCCTATCCATCTCCAGAACTTTTTCATAATTTCAAATGGAAATTATACTCATTAAATAACTCCCCATTTCCCTGACCCCTAGCCTCTGTTAAGCACTAATCTTTTTGTCTGTATGATTTGACTATGGTAGGTATTTCATGTAAGTGGAGTCATAGTGTTTGTCCTTTTATGTCTGGCTTATTCTACTTTAGCATAATGTTTTCAGGGCTTATCTATGTTGTAGCATGTACAGGATTTCATTCCTTTTAAAGGCTTTTAAAGGCACCCATCAGGGGACAATTAAACTGTTTCCACACTTCGCCTGCTGTCACCATGTATTTTTCAAACTCAGAAATAGAAATTACAGTTTTCTGACTTTATCTTATGTTTGAGAGACATAAGAGATAAAAATAAGTGCAGTTTGAGTTTAAGTCCCTTAGAAAAGGAGTATCAACTACAGGTGCCATGGCTGGCTTAATAGGGAAGGAGGGATTGGTGCCAAATGTGAGGATAGTAGCAAGAGGGTCATTGTGGGCAGAAGTAAGACACAAACATAGTGGGTGTGAGATGATTGGCTAAATCAAGTGGGGAGTTCGCAGCTGAGTGTTGTGGAAAGAAACATTTGGGCCGGATAGTGGAAGGCCCCAGTGTTTGTCTAAAACATCCTTATTTTATCCTAAAGAACATGGGTAGCTGCTGAAAGTTTTCTGAGTAAGGTACTGCGGTGATGAGCTCTGGGAAATCAGTCCGGAAGCAGGACATCTGTTGTAAGGCTGTCATCACTCAGACCTGAGAGGGAGGAAAGGCATTGTGGGCCTTTCTAGATTCCAAGGGCCATGTGAATGTTCTTCTTCTTTCTGCTTGCAGCACCTATGCACCAGTGAAGTCCTTCCTTCGAGTGGACAAAGAAAAGGTAAGCTCCCACCTCCCCTTGTTCATCCCCATCTCAATGGAAACAGTACAGATTCAACTCACGGCGTGCCCAGTCTTGTGGCTCAAGTGTCCCCCAGTGCCCTTCCAGAACCATCTGCTGGTACACGTGACCCACTCAAAGGCCACAGGAACCAGGGAACTTGAAAGAACAGGTCTGCGGGCAAGCATGGAGAAGCTGGCAGAAGCTTAGAGCCTGGCCTGAATCTCTGGGGTCCCCAACACCCCTCATGTGTCCGTTGCCTTTTCTCTTCCCAGGTTCAGATCTACAACCCAGCCTTCTTCAAGTACATCCACGACCGGTGGACAGAGCATCACGGGCGGTACCCTTCCACAGGGATGCTGGTGCTCTTCTTTGCCCTGCATGTGTGTGATGAGGTGGGTAACCCAGTGTTAGGAGTACAGTAGGGCTACCCATGCATCAGAGGGGAATCAGCCCTTCTTAAGGCTTAGCAGAGCAAGAGGAATGTGTTTTTGTAGGCAGAAACCAAGTCGCTTTGATCTCCCACATTTCTATGCTGTATAGTATACGTCTTCATTTCCCGAACTTACTACTTCCATGATTTTACCAAATCTGAAATCACTTAGTGAAAAGTTAAATTTACTTTAAAAGGAAATTGAATACTACCACCATAATTGGTATTACTTGCAGTAAAGAAGAAGTCATCAAAAATATAAATAGAATGGAAATAATGTAGTTAAGTTACACCAGGATGGTTTTCTCCCACCTCTGTGGGCCCCAGAGGGCCCTCTTTGTGTTAACACTGTTGGTCAGTCGTTCCAGGGGCCACATCTCACTATCAAGCAGGGCTGCTGCGCCACACTCGCTCGTGCCCAGCACACCCACTTTTGCCAGTAAATTCAGTGTGCGGTATTGGGTGCTTGACCAGCTTTCATATAAAAGTATTCCATTAAAAAACAACAAAAACAAACAAAAAAGGAACGTTAGCAACGGTGGGAGAGCTGCCACAGCCCTGGACTGAGGTGTCCCGCCGAAAGGGACCAGCAGTCTTGCCGAGTCGGTGTCCTTAGCTCCAGGCCTGGGTGTCGCGTCTGACCAACTGCGCGTCTCCCAGCTGTCGTCAGGTCGCTGCAGCCCCTTTCTCCTAGCCCACCACAACCCTAGGCTCTCCCGCGCCCTGTCCTCCCGGCTCCCGACTTGGGGTGACCTGCGCCGCCCTCCCCTGCAGGTGAACGTGTACGGGTTCGGGGCCGACAGCCGGGGCAACTGGCACCACTACTGGGAGAATAACCGGTACGCGGGCGAGTTCCGGAAGACGGGGGTGCACGACGCCGACTTCGAGGCCCACATCATCGACATGCTGGCCAAGGCCAGCAAGATCGAAGTCTACCGAGGCAACTGAGCCCGGCCTCGCCGCGTCTCTTCCGGGCCAGGAGCGAACCTCCGGCGCTGGCTCCTAGCCCGGACTCCAGGCCAGCCGACCGGCGGCAGCCTCAGCGTGGGCACCGCGCCCCATTGGGCGTTTCCAGGCCCTGGGAAACGACTCCAGGCCGCTGTGTGGACCAATCATGCTGCAAGTCCAGCGAGCGCCGGCTGTCCCTCTCCAATCATGAGATTGGGGACTAGCCTGGGCCTGGCACCAATCAGCGCTGCAGTCGGAGCGGAGGCTTTTTCTCCCAACCAATCATGAGACTCAAGGAGAACTTCTGGCTCTGGGCCCGTCTCCTCCAATCAATGGCCTTCGGGGGCGGGCCGGCGGCCGCTGAAACCCCTCTCCCCTATGCTTTGGGTAGGATTTTATTTCATGCTTTTTAAGGAACAGAGGTTGGTTCAGGCCTCGGTGAAGTACTTTTCCTCAGTGTCTGCAGGAGCAGTATTGGTCGCTCGTCGGCCTCACTCGGTCAGGGGCGCCAAGGAGGAGGTGGTGGGGAAGGTATGGGGTAGCGGCGGCTCCGCTTCCCTTGTCGAGAGGTGGGGGGTGGGGGTCCCTCGTGACCTCGGGGTGGGCGGAGAGGCGTTAGCCGTTCCTTTCTGGTGGTCTAGGGGAGATCAGGTGGTTTCCAGGGAGCGCGCTTTCATCCCAGGGGAGAAGTTGGAGCCCTCTCAAACCTCTTCAGGACTCAGAGAACTTTGGACCCCCCATTTCCTTTCTCTGTCAGGCCCAGCTGGGTGAGTGTAAACCCACCAAAGAAATCCAGTGGCTTGTGGGTTCCCTCATCCTTCTCCCCATCCCCAACTTTGGCCACCCTCTGGATTGGCCTTTCTGACCAGGGCATTTAGCATCTCACCAGGAAACTAGAACTGTATTCACCCCTTTTCTAGCGGGCAGAATGCTCCTAGGGCCTAACTCTGGAACCTAGGTGTAACGAACAGGGCAGGCAGGGGACAAGGAAGCCCCGTCACTTAAGATGTAAGGTGCTTCTCACTCTCGTGTCCTCTCGGCCCCTACTGTCCACCCACAACCTTTTCAGTGACTCGTCTTAGGCCGTGAGCCTCCTCACCAGCCTACTTGTTTTGAAAAAAAATCAAAATTTGCCCTGGGGTTGTGGGGCCCTGCTGCTTCTCCACTCCCTACCCCCTGCCCTGCTTGCGCGAATAAGCGAGCTCGAGCACACACACTTGCAGGCGTGTTTGGCCTGCTCTAGGGAGAGGGAGCAACACGTGGGAAAGAAGGCTGGAGATGGGGAACCCAGCTTGCCTGGTGCATGCATCTTCTTCCTTCACCTGTCACCCCAAAGAGGAGTAGGAAACCTCTTGCTTGGGGGTGGAATTTGCTTTGGTCTCCTAATTTAATTAACTTGAGGTTACCAGGGATGGCTGACCAACAAAGATTCTTTTAAAATTCTAAGCTGGCCATGCAAATAGCTGGGATTCTAGCTGAGGAGGAGTAGACTTGGCCGCCTGCATGCCTCCTCTCCTGCCCTTGCGTCCCCTCCCTCCATGCTCACTTCCTGCCTTCTTGCTCTGACCCAGTTTCCATTTCCAAATCTAGAAGGGCAGGGAAACCAACAAACAGGGGTTACAACTGGAAGTTACCTGCATGACTGAACCCACCTTGAGCTCCGAGAGGAAGCTGTCGATGGTATTCTCACCTTACAAGGTTGGGGAAATTTCGGAGGGGGGAAAGGGCTTCTATGAAGCTTACAGACCACTAATAGGATCCCCCTTCCCAACAGTGAGGAACACAAATACATCCTTTATCTTAGTGAGTTGATACCACCGAGCAGCCTCCTGGCCATTGGTGTTCCTGCAGCTGGCTGGGGGAACAGTAACCAGCAGGGAGTATTCTAGAAGAGGGTTGGGGCTGGGCAGTGGGCACCCCTAAAAGTTAATATATTGAGAACTTAGCTAGAGTCTGTTCCTTTCCAATTCCAAAAGTAGGAGGAGTAGAGCATGAGGGTGGATTTGGGAGGCCTTTAGTGGGATGCTGCTCAGGGCCTCCCCCATCATTGTAGAGAGTCAAGGCACTAGCCGTTCTTGCCAGTCTCAACTCAGTGCTTCCTGAAGAGGCTGTTTGGAGTGTTTAGAAGATGAAAAAATGCAATTATGCCAAACAGTATTGAGCAGAATAATTTATTTCTTTTTTGTTCCTTTTTCTTCTGTTTTGTTTAAAATGTTAATAAACCCCCTTTCTGGAAGAGGTAGGTCCCAGCATCCAACCCAGATCTCCTTTTCTGCCATAGTTATTTAAACATGTTTTTTTATTTTCTTCCTTTTCTCTCTCTTTCTGAATTAAAAAGAACAAAAGAACTATATAGTCATTTGTCTATTTGAAATGGGTATGGTTGTGGAAAGAAGGCGTATCTGTCATCTGGGAGCTATGACCAAGTAATGACTAAGAACACTGGGTGGAAGGTTCAAAGAAGAAAGAGAATGACTTCCAGACACCCCCGCATATACACGAGGCCTCCCAACCCCAGTCAACCAGCGGTGCCCTCTGATATGGTGGTTCTTCACCACTGTCTTTTGGGGCACATGAGTGGATCAGCAGGGCAGAGGCTGTCCACTGCCAGGGTCCCCACCGCATGCAGATCCAGCAGGCACCAGCATGGGGTTTCCCCCCAACATTTCCAGGTTCTGTGGAACTCCCTAGGATGCTGTAGGTGTGGGTTGGCAGAAAATTGACAGAATGGTAGCAGCAGGTGCCTCAGGCATCTGAGGCACCTCCTTGCACCATTTCCTTGGACGATCTGGACCCCTAGAGCCTACTTTGTGCAATGGAATGCCACTGAACATCCAATTTTATAGTCCAATGGGTCAAGTACTATGGATCTCACAACAGACAGAGTCTAAAGTCACTTGGTTTCCTATGCCCAAGAGCAATCCAGGAGTTGCTTTTCACTTGGAGAATGATTTTTGGTAAAGTGGGGTATTGGTATTTTTCTAAAACCTTTGAACCGGGGCCATAGTTCTCTTACTTGGAGTTGTCAGAGAGTCCATCCATCTCTCTATCTCTACCATAGACTATTAGCATTTGGTTGCCTGGGTCCTAAGGCCTGGTGGCAAGACAGTGTACACATAGGCTGGCCTTCAGAGAACCATTACTTGTTTGGGTCCCACTCAACTCAAAGCCAGCTGCCTTATAGGTTACTGTATTTGGTTGGAGCAGCACTCCCAAATATTGTACCTGTTGCCTCCAGAATCAAGAGTCCCACCAAATTGTGTGGTTTTTTGCTTGTTTGTTTGTTTTAATGTTGGCCAAGGACTCTGTTGCTCTGATTCCACAAAGATACCACATCTGGTAGCAAAGATCGGTATTACCATTAATTGCCTTTGCAATAAACTGTCAATTTCTAAGACTCAAATGGTGAGTAAATGGGATGAGGAAGAAATCACCTACACCTGTATAACTCAAGTTTGATGGCAGCACCAATCTCTGTAGATGGTGCCAGCATGGTAGATGGTGCCAGCATGTGGTATTGACATTTTTTTTTTTTTACTTACTATTTTGGAGATGGTTCCAGGGACTTCTGTTTGGCCCATCTATCATAATCACCCTCATTCCATGGGTAAGGTTGCCAATCTGGGGATTTTGCCAGGTAATAAATGTTTCTCTTCCCTTTTGGGACAGGATATTCCAGGCATGACTAATATTTTTGTACTTTGCTTTATTGCCCTTTTTTTTTTTAATTTTTTAAATTTATTTCTAGGAGAGAGAGAGCGTGAGCAGGGGAGGGTCAGAGAGAGAGGGAGTCACAGACTGAAACAGGCTCCAGGCTCTGAGCTGGCAGTCAGCACAGAGCCCGACGCGGGGCCCGAACCCACGAACCGCAAGATCATGACCTAAGCGAAAGTCGGACGCTTAACCCACTAAGCCACCCAGGCGCCCCTGCTTTATTGCCCTTTGCAGATAGTGAGGGGTTTTTTTGTTTTTTGTTTTGTTGTTTTTTTTTTTTCCACATATTGAAGGTTTGTGGCAACCCTGCAGTGAGCAGGTCTATCAGTGCCATTTTTCCAACAGCGTTTGCTTACTTTGTGTCTCTGTGTCATATTTTAGTAATTCTCACAATATTTCAAACTTTTTCATTATTATGTTTGGTATAGTGATCTGTGATCAATGGTTAAAACTTGCTGAAAGCTCAGAAAGTGGTTAGCATTTTTTAGCAATGAAGTTGTTCATTTTTAATGTTTTTTTTGTTTGTTTGTTTTTAAGAGACTGCGTGTGAGTGGGGAAGGGGCAGAGAGAGAGGAAGACAGAATCCAAAGCAGGCTCCAGACTCTGAGCTGTCAGCACAGAGCCCAACATGACTCAAACCCACAGACTGCGAGATCATGACCTGAGCCAAAGTCGGAGGCAGTTGGCTTAACCAACTGAGCCACCCAGGCGCCTGAGGCATAAGCATTTTTATGCATAATGCTATTGCACACTTAATAGGCTATAGTGCAGTGTAAACATAACTTTTATATACACTAGGAACCCAAAAAATTCATTAGGCTTGCTTTATTGTGATATTTATTGCTGCAGTCTGTGACTTAACCTGCAATTTCTCAGGTATGTCTATACCTTAAAATGGGTTTGTGGTCTCATTGGACCCACCATTGAATGGACTTGGATCAGAGCTCCATCTATCATCTGCCATAATAAGCCTGACTCTAACTGGTGGACCACTTTGGTTGGACTGTCAGAGCTTATATCTGATAACTCCTGAAGCTCTGGGTATCCCTTTCCCTAGCACACTGTCACTTTGGGAAGTAGGTCCCTCAGGAAGGGCTTGGGAGAAGATTTAGGTTCCATACCTGAGCTGTCAGAGAGTCACCCCTCAAAGAACCTTGGGATCCCCTTGAAAAAGAGACTTCATGTGTGACCTGAATTAGGTCTGGGAACTGGGTGAGAAGCTGTGAATCCCCATCTCTATGACCCACACTCCTCAGCACTCTTTGAATTTCTTCTGTGCATGTTAAGCAGAACCTTAGTAGGTTTCCTGCCATCTAATTTCTAGAGACCCTAATGGTCCATTAACTGTTGTCCCAAGTCCTTGTAGGTCAGAACTCTAAGTATCATCCTGTGATGTATTGTGGTAACGTGCCCACCACCCCAAGTAGTTAGGCGTGTCTTTTTGGACTTCACCATGTTAGGATTACATCATTCTCTGACTTACACATGACAGCCAACAGAGTTAATCAAAGATGTTGGGGCACCAATCACTAATGCATTTTTAAAATTTTTAAACCATTTTTGATGTGGGATATAATCTATATGCAGAAAAGAGCATAAAGATCAATGTACTAAAATAGATAATTTTGCAAATTATTTTTTTAAAGCGAATTATTTTTTAAAAGTAGAATAATATTTATAATAAATATATTTATAGATAGATACATTTCTGTGGTAAAGGAAAAGCAGTTTCCACTGCCATTCAGTTATCATAATGGACTTAAGAAAAGGAGAAGAGAGGTGGTTGAACATGTTATTTGGAAGAATTAGAAAAACTAGAATGTTATA